CAGATAAGATATATGTAAGAAAGTTTCATCTTCTACGCACATGTATGTAAAGAGCACAGTTAGTAACACGTTTTATGTTTACCTGTATACCACAGTTATGTATATATTCGTTGAAACTAGTGTAAAGAAGAATATACCACAGTCTTTGGCAAAGTGCCAAGTTTCTTACAGAACAAGGAGAGGTTCTCCTTTTACACTCGTTCCGTGATGCTCATCAAACACTTGACATTTCTTGTTTCCAGTACACATGAACCTGATATTCGAAACGAAATAACTTCATGTTTAAATACTACCGAACATTGGTGTGTACAAACTGGATAAAATCATACACGATAAAACAACTTGGTAAGCATATTAAGATGTCTTAACATTAAGGACTCTGGTAAACGTATTAAAATAGCATGTAATGTAGTGACTAAGTTGTTATATTATTTTTATAATTGAATATAGAGGTTTATGAATGTTTGATTTTATTCAATTATTTCACGTCTTATTCGTTATATACATTTATTCTTATTTCTCATAATGAGCGCCCCCACCTCCTTCTCACAGCGGTATGTCTGCGGATTTACAACGCTAAAAACCGGGTTTTGATACCCGCGATGGGAAGAGCACGGATAACCCATTGTGTAACTTTATGCTTAAATACAAACAAACATGCCCCCCAGTGGCACAGCGGTATGTCTGCGGACTTACAACGCTAGAATCCAGGTTTCGATACCCGTGGTGGGCAGAGCATAGATAGCCCATTTTGTATATATAATGAGCGCCCTATATCCACATTGTCCTCCTAACTTTCTCACTCTACGTATATGTGTGTGTCACATAGCTCCAGTATTGTCGATTTCACCAACATTATCCGGCTAGATCTCTATTTTAAATGACTTAGCTGCATCTCTGACTCCCCCTGGATTTTAAGTAAAGTAATCATTCAATTTTGACGTCAGTCAAATTTATCGAGGGTAGAAACGGTTTCGGTTTTATTTCTTCTTCTTCTTTAAACGAATTTCTAAAAGATCAAATGTTTTTTTCATTCATTTTTTTCCCCCGAGTAACGGTAGCTTTAATATAAAATCCATAAAGCTTAAGTACATTACAATTTTAATGAGGAAAAATAGAAACGTCTTATTGATTTTACCATCTCCTTAGAACGCACGCAACCGGGTTATCTACCATCTGTTTTGTGTGGTATTTGTGAGAGAAGCATTGCTAATTTTATAGAAGAAAACCTTTTAAATGAAGTCGTTCGTCTTAATTCCGGTAACCTGTTAAATATTCAATCGTTATCAAAAAATATGTTTCACATAAAACTCTAAACAGAACATTGTGTTTGTAAAACAATACTTTACCACACGGTGCTAATTATAAAATACAGAGGGTCTGTTGGGTGGCGTCTGGGAAAATACCATCAGATGTTAAATATACCCAGTCAAGATATCACTAAAGACACCCAGTCAAGTTATTGCTACAAACACCCAGTCATGGTATTACTACCGATACCCAGTCGAGGTGTTGCTACCGATACCAAGTCAAGGTATTGCTACAGACACCCAGTTAAGATATTGCTACAGCCACCTAGTCAAGGTATCACTACAGACACCCAGTTAAGATATTGCTACAGCCACCTAGTCAAGGTATCACTACAGACATCCAGTCAAGGTATTGCTACAGACACCCAGTCAAGGTATTGCTACAGACACCCAGTCAAGGTATTGCTACAGACACCCAGTCAAGGTATTACTACCGATA